AGCCTCTGCTTCTTTGCCTCTGAAACTCACAGACAATGCGCCATGCATCAGGCTGCAGCTATCTGTTCCATCTCCTAAAGTAAACATTACTGATTCGCTTTGGATTTTTTTTCTCCAGGTGTGGCAAATACAAAGTCAGAATTTCTCTGCATAACACCTAGGAATATTTACAAAAGTGTTTTTTTTACAGTATAGGTCTTGGAAAAAATTGCCATGTAGCAGTGCAAGGCAATAGTAATTAGTGCCAACAGGAACATTTCCTATTTATCCCATTCTGGGACCTGTTCAGTCATATCTGTTTTGGGTCTTGAACTGGATGAGACATATGAAAAGGCTTTATACTTATTCCTTTGAAAAAAGATGTCTTTTATTTCTAGAGCTGTATCATCAGCTGTGCTTTAAAATCTTAAAAAGTAGGATTTATTTTTGCTCTTGAATAGGAAGATACATGATTATGAGCCCATTTTAACTATACAAGGTGTGAGAGCCGACAGTGAAAAAAAAGTCTCAAATATATGGAGTTAAACATAACCTCAGCTACCGGGTCTTTGTTATCCATGGATGACAGCCCAGTTAATAAATGTTTTCTTACTGGGATGCTAGACTGGAAGTTAATGGTGAAACACATCTACAACATACTCTAGATTCCCGAGACACGCAGACACGTCACAAGCGTAGTGGCAGTGGCATGCACAAAATGTGTCTGTATAGGGGTTTTGTTAGTCAAACTTGGGTTTTCCCGTTTACCAGCCCAGGTGCAAACACTGCATAAGCAAAGAAATTTAGGCAGGGAGAAGACTATTTCATGTTTTGGATATGTTGCTTGAAAATCGTGCTTACTACTGGCAGGGGTTTATACAGAGAAAAGGGTAGAGGGAAAAGATGAAAGAGGAAAGATTTTGGCAGAGGCTGGAGTTCAGGCATGCAGAACAGATATCCTAGTCCACATAATCATAAAAGTGTGTCTGCTTGCTAGACTGGCTACGTGTCTCCTGTTAGGTTTGTGTCTTTAAAAATAAATGACATAGAAATGCCTTTAGACTTTGTGACTTGCTAGACCAGAGCCAAAAAGAGTTCAAATATGAAAAATATGTTTTGTCACTTTTGCCATTAAGGGAAGAGTCTTACTCTAAGAGAGTCGAAGCCTGAATTTTGTCCATGGTAGTTTTCTCCTCTTTTTCAACACCTACCCATATTTTGTTATCTGGACTGAGCAAAAAATTAGGCAGAGGGTGGCAGAACTGAGCACAAGTAATTTCTTTACTTGCCCTCAGCCCATCCAAAGGAGCCTGTACAAAGAAATACAGGAAAATCCACAATTCTCAATTCCTGCACAAGAAAAAATCCTAAAATATACGACCTTGTGATGGTTAAAAGATAGCTAAGAGCCAAAGCTGGGCAATGTTTTTATCCCAGTTCAGCCATGTCATGGGTCATGTGGTTCAGCATGTGAACAGGAAGGTGAGAATGGGTGAACTTTTGCCTCAGTTGTGCAGTCCATCAGAGAATAAATGGAGCAAATCACTCTGCAGCTGGATCAGGAGGTGAACGGCTGAATACCTCTCACACAGAGGCCTTTGTGTTCTGGACATGATCTAGCATTATGATGGGACGCACTAGTCTGAGGCTTTGTAGCAATTACTAACCCATTATCACGCTAGAACATGAGATCATTTATCTTCTAATTCAGAGTGTCACCTGTTCTTCATTTGCCAGTCAATAACCATTAATTACTTTCAGTGGAAATTTAAACAAAGCTTTTCCCCTCTGTTAAAACCAGTAAGCCATTCAGTAATGACAAATAAACCTGGAGCTGTATCACCTCCTTTCCTCTCGTTCTCAGCCTCAAGTCTGGTACAATATGCATTCTTAAAGGAAATGCCTAGAAATTCATAGGTCAAGGACCTTTATTACTCTGATGTGAGGAGAATCACATTCCTGGCACTTGATGTAGGGAAAGGATATAGCTACTGCCTGTACATTGGTTGTGATGGGCTGTACCTGAGGAAATATAATTTTGACAGTGGAACTTGTTAAATTTTTTTTTCTCTTCTGGCTTGCCTTGGCATTTTTTTACAGACTGCAAATGCAGACCCATGCAAAACAACAGCATTTGGTCACCTTCTTCAAAGCAAAACAGAGCTATCACTTGCTTTGTAATTTTTAGCACGTTAATTTTTTTCAGACCTCATTGGATTGAGGTAACTCTAAGTGCCAGCAATTGTGAATGCCAGAAAAAAATAAAAGAACCCACAGTGATAGATTCTCAAGTAACCGTTAATCTAAACATTCTTTCCTGGTAGGATTTGAAGCAAAAATCACTTTTAGCAACTCTGTCTGCATTGTTTGATCATTTCTAAGTTGATCCTGTTGAAATTTATTGCAGTTTAAGTTGCATTGCTAAGACAGTGATTGCTTGCTTTTTGAAATGGTAGACAAGAGTTGATAAATCCAAATGCATAAAACCTCATTGGGTCCACTCTCAAAGGCTGTTTTTTTGTTAGCATTTTGCACTGCCTTCTTCAGTGTAGGGTGTGTTTTACAGCAAAGAGAAACTTTCAACTCTATTTCATATTAATATGAAAAGTAATGCCTAAATGCTTTAAATGCTTGCTGGATTGTTGAATGTCTTGGCATAAGTATCTGCACTGAAACTGTGTAAAAGGAATTACAAACTGAGGTGTTCAAAAGTAAAGGGGTGGCAAAAAATTGTTGGAAGTCTGATCCTGCTTCTGCTTAGATATATTAACATTATTTTACCAACAGTCATAGTAAATAGCAGGTGCTTATGCTAAATTGCATATTCGGTCAACCAGTGTAGCATTTTTGGGTGGGGGGGGGATTTTTAACAATAAATGAGGTTTTGTTGTAGCATCTCTCTCCAAGGTAACTGACACTACAGTGTCAAGGCAAGAAAAGGAGTTCATTATGCATGGCAAACATCCACCAAAGTTGAGAGGAGAACCACTGCCCCTGATTGACTGATTGTCTAATGCTGGAAATCCTTATTTGCCCAAATAGTGCCCTCTCATACAAGGAAGTGTGTTGTTTTCAGCTAGACTGCTTAAGGAAGCCTGAAGGTCTGTGAAATCAGGAACTGGTCTGGGAGAACCAAAATTATCAACCACTTATTTTAGATACTCCTTTTACCTTTCTGTGCAGCTGCTGCTACTGTGAATCTTGCAAGCTTGTTCAGTCATGAAGAAACAGGAGTTGGTGATTTATGGTGACCTCTCAAATCAGCAGGGAAACCCCAGTGTTCCAGAAAAGCTCATATGAGAGATACAAGTTAAGACATCTCCTCCCCACAAGATGATTTTCATCAGCCAGTTGGGTATTTCTGCGTCATCAGCTAGGATGTTCAATCCTGGAAAGGAAAAATAAAGTTGCTGCCATTGTCCTGCCCAGCAGGTCATCTCCCTAAAGCACAATTTATAATTTGTGTCAAGGACTTACACAGCAGTTGCCCAAAACCAAGCCTTCCATGCACGTTCAAGAAGTAAAAAGGTTCAAAAGGAACATGTTAATAAAATCTTGGAAAAACTTTGGAAGATGCATAAAATAATAACTGTAAAGAAAAACGGCTCGCACCTAGAACCATTTAAGTGGAATGTATTGCCTCGCCATGCAGGACACTGATTTATTGAGAATAGAGAGGAAAAGCTGAATATTTCAAGTGGTATTTACCAAGAGAAACTGAGCTATCCCAAAGCTTTTATTAATCTGATTTGCAGAGTATCCACTACCATCAAGGGACCTACTAAAGTTGTTTTCTTTAAAGCTGATGCGAAGAGGTCAATGCACATAGCATCATGGATTACAATGTGAGAGGATGACAGTCCTTTTTACCATATGGAGAGAAAGTTGAATTATTTTGTTTCCCTTTTCTGGTTATTTATTGAACTAGGATCATGCCATACAGGTATTCCCTTTTCCTCTCCAAAGGAAATGAAGTGTTTGCATCATTTGATTGATCTAAAGTAATAATTATTCTGTATACGTACAGCTCCTATGCAGTCAAATAGTCCAGTCACTAGAGCACTGCCTTGCACATCAGAAAATTGAAATGTACCTGCAGTGATATCTCAGACCAGTCACACATGCCTTTGAATACCTTTTTTCCATCTGCTTTCCAGCTTTCGTGCTGACTTAGCTAGTCAGCCCTCTGAGATGGCGCCCACCCATCATTACTTGTTTGTGGGAGAGGACTCTGTGAAAGACATTGCTGTGGGAATTAAAAGCTGGTCCCATGCAATGCAAATATGTTGACAATCTGATTAAGTTTTGCTTCAAAAGATACTCCAAAACTCTTGCTGCACAAACAGTCCTCTGAAACTGATGTTAATGGTTGTGTTGCTTTTCCACCAGGGTTTTCTCTGTTCCTGTGTCAAAAGTTTCTTCTACAGTACTTTAATATGTAACATTCAACGCTTATTCAGCAGGGAAACCGGATTAACTTGGTTAAATACCTTTTTAAAAACTTACTCTTAATTAAAATCTCAGTTTAGGCAAAGCAAATGTGGCAGAAGAAACAGCTAAAAGGATCTGTATTTTATGCTTCAGTGTGTTTGACATGATTTTGTGGCAGATAGACAACAGCATTCTGGACTGAAACATTACAAAATTTTGCTCTTTTCCCCATATCGATGTCAATTCATGCAGTGCTTTAAGCAAGTGAATCCATGCTCATGAGCACTAAACCAAGTCTCAGTGCTCAAAAGTAAACATATTAAAGTCTCCCCTGCAGAAACTCCTGCTGTGAAACAAATTGAAAATCAAATACAGCATTGTTTTCTGTAATAAGAAATAATTGAACTCTTTTCAGAGTTGCATTGAACTGGTTAATAGCCACTGTGTAAAGAAAGTGCTAATTTCCCCAGCTTGGGGTATGTGTGTGTAGGTGTGGTTATTTCCAAATCAAAAATGCGGTAATACAATATCATGTACCAAAGAGGCCACTTACATGTGCACTGAATCTGACTTTGTTTATCTTTCTGCAGGCCATGTGGTTGATGTTGCAAACGGATGAGCCTGAGGACTTTGTCATAGCCACTGGGGAGGTCCACAGTGTCCGTGAATTTGTGGAGAAGTCATTTAAGCACATTGGGAAAACCATTGTGTAAGTATGAGGATGAGAGAATAGCCACAGGTTGAACATTTCTAGCCTCTCGCATTTGCTGTGACAAAACAGAGTATTTTTGTCTACATTCTTCATTTCCCCCCCATCACTTTCTATTTGTAACATAGGAGACCTTCCATGCATGAATTACTGCCACAGCAGATATGTCTAGTGTTGCCCTCTAGATCGTAAGTTTAAAAGGTAGATGGGTTAATCTTAATTTTTGTATCAAAGTCTTAATTCTTTGTTCTCCCTGTCTTGGGGTAGGGAAGCCCCTCCAGAGACATTAGTACCAGGGTGCTAACATCATCACCTTCCTGCAAGAGGGGCTTTTCTGCCCAGTTCTCTGTTTTGTGCCCCAGATCCCACAGTCCTGCTCCCATCCTCTGCTATCTGAAGAGGTGACACCTACCAGCCCTGTTCTTTCCAGGTGGCAGCCCATCAGCCACGCTACACGGCTTATGTAGCAAACCACTCTACATTCCTATCAGCTCTTCTCCTACTAAGCCGTAGAAATGTTGAGCAGTGGGTGCAGAATGTTTACAATGCATATTCCACATAGTTTGATTGAAAATACAAAATTCCTTCCCAAGGCCGTATAATAAAACCAGGATGGCTTGGTGAGCGCTTTCTGTAATTTATATTTTTATTGTTTATTATTTTTTCAATTTCCCTCCTTCTGTATCTTCTCTGGGCCCCATGCATCAACATACCAATCTCAGCTGGAAAAGGGAGAGGAAAGCCACAGGCTCTTCCATGACGCTAGCGCCAGGGCTGTTCCTCAGGCCATCAAAGTCACTTGTGCAGCTGGTGAACTTTTGACAGGGCCAATAAGTTTTACTTGGGAACAAAAACTTGACAAATTCAATAAATATGCAGAAGTGCACAGATATATACAATATTATTTGAACAGCCAGTGGGTGGCTGGGGAGGTAATAACATTTTCTCCTCAATGAGTTTTTAGTCTGGTTTCAATTTTTGGCATCAACTTCCAGAAAAAGAAATTCTGATGAGGGAGAGAGAGACCGTATAAACAGTATTTCTGACCCAAAAGCTCAGTTTGGGGAATAAGCTTCTCTCCATGTTTTTCACATTTCTTGATTGCAAGATGTCCCTGGGATCACACATTGTCCCATATACTGTAACAGTAGTGAGGTTTGAGAGGCTAAAGGGGCTCTAATAATTGCTTTGTCTTTCTTAATTTTTATTCTCTTTTTATAGTTTTGTTTCTTGTGTTTATAAGCTAATTCTACCGAGTAAGAATGGATAGGAAAATGCTGCAGATTCAACTGCTCCATAAGAGTAAGAATTCTAGTGATTTTGAGAACTGCCAGGTCCCTGTCTATTATTATTTGTCAAAGCAACAATGAATGTTGGTGAACAACTTTGTCAATTTTTAAAATTTTGATTACCTACAATTAGAGGCTGATATGTAAAGGTCAGTACCTGGCTGAATATCTTTATTTGCAGATGTTCCCCACATAATTTTTTATGTTTTCTTTTGATGTCACTAAATTTATCCCTTAGTTTAAAACTGAACTCTCGGCTTTGGTGTTAGTCTAAGAAGTCTCAGCACTTCCCAAGGGTGACAAATCTACATGTGTTTTTCAAAAAGTAAGTTAAGTCCTCAAGAAAACCTAAAGAAAATAATAGGGCCAGAAATAAAAGTGAAAGTACTTTTATTAATGACTTCTGTTATAGAGGGAATATTAAAGGATTACTTTAGATTTAGTTGTTCCTAACACTCAAAATTTTGTGTCCTGTTCATTTAATCTTTTTGCTCGTATATGGCTCCGTATGGTAGACTGTGTATCATTTATGTTTAATGCAGTCAGTATTTGGATTGAATCAGTCACAATCCGGTCTCTCAGAAAAACTTCACAGCATAACTCCAAATGTGAAGTAGAGCAGGTATTATGTGTGTATGAAGGCATAGTTGCCTTTCTTTATTACTAATCAATAACAGTAATTTGCAAAAATTATATAAGAACTCACATGACACCTAGTAATATGGATTTTTAGGAACACAAATTGCTTTAGAAATGGGGACTTGGGTTTCTAGTGCCCCTGGCTCCTCTGAGGTTTTTCTTTCCTGTGAATAAATTTTTAATTCCATAAGCCGTTTACAGGTGATATATAAATAATGATACGTATGGGGACTGAATTGACATTTTAAGTGGGGATGATAATTTTGTTGCTGATAATTTGGACAGTGAACTCTGAACATTTTGCATGTTGCCTGTTTAGATAAAGCCATTCTTTCCCCCTGCTCCCAAGGTGAGAATAACATGACAACGCACCCACTACTCATCCTGTAGCCATTGCTCATCTTTCAAATTGCATTAGATGTAAAATATTCCTCAGGGTTTGGGAAATTCTCTTAAGAATCTCCATAGTTTTTCCAGGTGTCAGCCTGACCCATGCTTTTGCAGCACACACAGGCCCTCCTTGGCTGTCTGGTAACCTTTCTTTGAAAGCCCCAAGGAATTTCTACTCCCACCTCCTCCAGTTTGAATGTATCTCCTTCAGGGAGCAGCCTGGCAGAAAAACCCTCCCTTTGGCATTGTGAGACCCCAGTGGTGAGTCCCATTGATCTGTTGCTTTACAATTTATGAGGCACCTGAGAACCAATGCACCAGAGTGTAATGGCTAAACAACTTCCCACAAGGATGGCTGCTTTCTTCCTGTTACTGTTTCTTAAAGTTTGGTTGAGTTATCTGAGGTTTCTGGGGTTTTTTTGCAGGATTGCAGGTATTCTGAAATTTTTGAACCTCAAAATCTTACCTGGGAGATTTCTAGCAGCCTTTTCCACTGCTATAAGCAATGGCACAGCTTCCCAGTACTGCTGAACAACCCGCCTTTCAAAATTGATGAAATGATGGAGTAAATGTCCAGGATAGATGCCATGGCAAACAAAAGTTGGCAGAGCTCATACCACATCTGAGAAAACTGGGCACATGTGCAGGGGCTCTTAACCATCCCTACTTTGTGCTTTGTCAGGGAAAGTCACAAATGTAGAACCTTAGCTGTCACATCGTGATACTGCACTAGTGAACAGGAAAAAAGAGATCCTGGCTGCCTCATCAACCAACAAAAAATACTGATTTTATTTTTTTTAGGTTTTTTTGTCTTCCTAATAATTCACATTAACTTGTACAGCTGAAAATCCAGGACAGCCTAAAAAGTCTTTCCAAGAACATAACATAATATTCTGTCCTAGCCAGTCATTAGCACATGTCAGGACTATGTCTTCTAGCCAAAACAAGAGAGAGAGAAACTTTACTACATTTTTGTAACTAATGAAATGTACAGCTGCAATAAGACTGATTCTCTCTCTGAAATGGACTGTAAAGTATTCATGGAAGTTTATCTACCTTGTGTGGCTTTTTCCTCTTACATTTCTTTTTCAAGGAAGAAATTTCAAATTATATTTATACAGTCCTCTGAATCATTCAAATTCGTCCTTTGTACTAACAGGAAAGCCTCAGAGCTACAAATATTTTTCCCCTGTAAGGATACTTTTTTTTTTCTTTTACTTTCCCTTCTGCCTATTGCTAATTAAGAAGTACTTGGGGGAAACACTTCCCGCCTATAATTTGAACTACAGCAGGGTAAACGAAACAGGCAAACGCTTGTCTTGACTAATTTTCTGCCATTAATCTTATTAAATTAGAACAGGATTGCAAAGATAGCCTGAAACCACTACAGCATCCAGAGTTCTTTGCAGACGGCTACAAAGACTCCTGTCTGCAAATGTGGAAAGTAAAAAAAAAAAAAAAAAAACACCAAAAAAAACCCACACACAAAAACCAACAAAAAAAAAAACCCCTGTCCAAGCTGCAGAAAGATTTATTGTGGTTTTTATTAATATAGAAATGCATGCACATTTGTTACAGAAATATTCATTGCTTCCAGGATCAGAATTAATTCAGAAAAAATGAATATTTTACTCTAGTCATTTGGTTCTACATACAAATTTTATCTTAACTAACATGCTAGTTGGTCTTATAAAAGATCAGCCTAAAACAGGGAAGTTTGCAGACAAGCTATAAGGTCTTATGAGGTGAACTCCTGTGGCCTCTTCAGTGACAGTGAAAGTTGAACTGAGATTGAACCAAGGGAGAAGAGTTTTTCTGGTTTGTTTGGTGGGGTTTTTTTGTTTGTTTGTTTTTTTCTTTTTATCTTAAAATGGAAGGCTGGGTTACAGAAACACATGAGATTTGAAGGATTGCTGTAAGAATGGAAAGCATGTGGGACATGGAGGAGGAGCCATCAGCAGTCATCAGCAAAACAGCCGCTATTTCCAGATCTGGCTCTTGCCCACCAAAAATTGCTGGCTGGCTGGTGCTGTGTGTTGTATTTAAATTAGAAAAGAAAATGAGAAGCTTTCAGATGAAGAGGAGAGGAACAGAATCTCATACAGCAACTGGAGGCATTTTGAAGAGAGGTAGTTGAAAGGAACCCAGCCATGTCAGTGAAGAATGCTGGCCTGGGTGAGCCCTCACAAAAAAGACTTCTCACTTTGGACTGCACCAGTTTTGTCATCATTCTCAAAACAGAGTATATATTTCAGGGGGCATTTAACCCACCTCAGCTGGAGAATTAATTCTTTCAGCTGAGCAGGCCCTCATTATTTTCTTACTGATACAAGGTTTTATCTGCAGGCAGACACAATAACTGTTACAGCATTGAAATTAAGGCCTGAAGACTGTAATAGTCTAATTATGTGATTAGATAACAGGTATGAGAGTTTCTCCAATAGAAAGATTAGGTAAGAATGAAATATGGTGTTTCATGGGAAATTCCATATATCCCACCCCTGAAAGTAAAATAAAATATTTATCGTAAATGCAATTTGGAAAAATATCTGATTTCAGGTCAGCTGGACTTCTTTGGTTTTTTCCTAACCTCCTTTAAAGAAAGAATAACTTAAGTTAGAATTTTTAAGCCATTCTAAAAGAAAGAAAAAAAATCCATTCTGAAAATGTAAAAGCGTCCCTTTTAGACATTAATAATACAATTTTGTATCAGGCTGACACTAATGGAACTTATTTAAAACTAAAACTTTTCTTTCCATAATGCTTTTATTTTCACGGAAGCATTAATATTCTTTGAGAAAACAGTTTCTTCCCAAAACCAACTTTCACAAATTGGAGTAAAGGGACAGAGCTTCAAAAACTTTCCAATGAACTGGAAAGAAAAAAAAGCCTAGCATGTATTCTTTTTTATTGTCTTGTTATATGGGCAGTTGCAATTAAATTTTTTAAATCTGAGCTTGGCAATGCTTGGACTATTGGACTAGTAGAAAAAAAAAAAAAAAAAACAATATTGAATACCTGATTCATCAGAGCTTTTGAAAACAAAAATATATACATTTCTTTTTGGTAGCATGCTTTTGATTTAAGCACAAGGTCATGGTTAAGCAATCCCTGTATGTGTGATTACTTTGATGTATCAGAGCTTGCTGGCAAGGTTGGTGGTTGAATTGGTGGCAAAGGAGCTTATGAAGAGTCATATTTAAAGTTTCCCTACAGAAGATTACTTGCAAAAGATATTAACGGTCTGTTATATGGTGTCAGTTTTGCTGTTTATAATGTGCCAGGACAGAATGAAGTGCTTTGGCTTAACTTCGTGTGTAGCAGAAATCAGGCCACAAATCTGAGAAATCTACACAAACAGTATATCATATTAGCTGTGGAGCAAAATCTTCATACAGTTTAATTTACTGTTCAGTTTCAAGTGTGAAAATATTTTCTATTGGCATTTATTTCATTATAAAGGTGACCATGATCATTTTATTTTTCATAAAGAAACTGAGCAGCTGTAGCCTCTAGTGGTTTTGAATTTTTTTTTTTTTTATGCTGTGGGTTCTATTTCTATGTAAAGATCAAGCAAGAAGATGAAATGCATATACTTGTTCAGTTTATCTCTGCTTCTGTGAAAATTTTCATTTTTATTTGATTTCTTCACAGCCTCAAAAATATATGTACTTCGACTTTTTTCCTCCTTAATTACAGCCAGACCATTTGGTCCATTGCAGTGCTATTCCCACCCTTCTTCAATTATCCTGGCTCCCTGTGTCCTTCCCTGCCCACCTCACACCCTACCAGGTGTAGGGTCATGCCAAAGAAGCATTCATCAACGCTGATAATAATAAGTATTGTAACAATAGTGATATGTTAATGATAGTAGATATTAAATTAGCCTTAAATTAAATGTACTCCATTGTGCATCACACCTTTGGCATCCCTCACTCCATCCCACTGTAAATCCAGAGTTTAAAAGCTCTTGATGTGAAGAATTTTTGAAGCAAGTAAACCTGCTTATACATTTGAATCTTAGTTTTATGGAAAATTGTGAGGTCAGTGATGGCAGTGGAGTCCACCAGAGCTGACCACTGACTGTCACCCCCAGCAATCCCAAAGCACCCATCTCCAGCAGTGACATGGAAGTGTAGGTGCAAAAGCCATCAAACTTGCTTTGCCAGGAGCAGTTCTGTGTTCTCACCCATCCTTCTCCAGGTGCAGAACATGCTGGCACACAGCTGAGGTGGTCAGCATCCCTTGCTTCAGTGGGAGGATGAAGCTGCACAGCGTGGGGCAGGCAGTGGCCTCGCTGCAGGGGCTCAAGGAGCAGCATTTTGGGCAAAGCCTGCACCAGGCCAGCGGGTGCCTGCCTGGGAGCTCTGGGCTTTGGCACCAGCTGGGCTTGGGGGATCCACTGCCCATCCTCTATACATTTAGCCCAGTCCTGATGAGCCAAACTTTCTGCAGCCAGGGATCCTTGGTGTTTTCCCCAAGTTGCACGGGGCTGTTTCCATGCCTGGGTGAGCATCTGCCCTGCGGAGCAGGAAGCTGGGTAGCCTTTGTGGCTGGAGCTAGCTGAAACCACAGCACGACACCAGGGCTCCCCGTGCCCCTTCCACCATGCTTGTGCTTCAGGATAATTTGGCGTGACATTTTACAGTCAACAGTTCTGGCTGCAATTTGACTATAAATTAAGGGTGGTTGTGGTGGGTTTTTTCTTTTGCCTTGTGGTTTGAGGGAGAGGGAGTTGGTTGGGAAAGTGGATGTCTTGGTCCTGGTGTCAGGCTGTCCCTGCACTGTCCCTTTTATCAGCTGTATGATGATCCCAGCTGTGAGCATGGAGGTGCCAGGAGTAATTAGAAGTGCTGCTATCAAATGTTACTTTGTTCACAATGAGAAGCATTTCTTTTTTTTTTTCTCCTTGTGAACTTTTCACATTACTGGGCTGAACAAAACGGGTGGAGATTTCTTCTCAAGCGATTTCTATTGTTATATAACTTTGATAGCGACATTAAGTGAGTCTTTACTGGCTCGGCTGAGCCTTCTGGAGCCTTTTGGGTGTTAAATGGGGTTCTGTGCTCAGTGACCTCCAACAACAGCTGACGTCTCCTGATCTAAGCGCTTCCTGTTGTTTTACTGGTGACTGTTAGTTTTCTATTAAACTCATTTGAGTCCTGCACATTTTTACCCTCTGCCCTTTAAAGGGAGGGACTAATGTTAGTTTTGGCTTGTGAATGAAAACTTTGCAGTTCAGGCTCACAACAGAGCAAATGCAAAAAAAAGAAAGAAAATTTAGATTATAAATCATCTTTAGCATCATGGCATGCCCATTAACAGCTGACTTCACTGTCATTATTATCTGTAGGAAATTATTTCAATGTGAAATGTTCCCAGTATCAAGCATCCTACAGGCTTTGCTAGTCATTCGAAAGTCATGAGTTGTGCTTAAAAATTCGTGAGATTTAAAAACTATGCATATTTGGTATTTCCTTTTGCCTTTCAGTGTTAAAACCTTCATGGATACTCAAGAGGTCACTTTTTCAGACTTTTCTTCTTAGCCCCCAGGGCTAGAAACTCAAAAATGAAGGCTGACATTATCAAAGAATTAGATTCTTCTAGGAGCTTGAGGCAGCAGGGGAGCAAGGAGAAATCATATCTGTGACAAAATCCCAAGAACTGGGAGAAACATTAGTAAGTGGGAGGCTAGAGGTGCTTTTCTTTCCTTGCTGGTAACTGAGGCTAAATAGCCTATATCACAGTGCTAATTTAATTTATACACATTTTACTTAAATATAAAAAAAGCTTGTGAATTTCATCATCACGTTTTTAAGCCAAGCTGGTTCAGAGCCCCATGGTATATACTTAAAAGCAAAAAGCAAAGAGTGGAAAGAATTTCAATCATAACTCTGGATTTTGTATGTTCAGTGGATGAAGTTTGAGGCACCTATGTACATTCCTACACGTGTCATCTGAAGCATTTATTTGGAGTGGGAGCATTGTCCCCAGGCTTCCAGGCTGCAGCCTGACCTCCCTGAAGGCAGAGCTAGTCACCCACCAAGCCATTCCTTTTCTGCTGCTCCTGAAACCAGGACAGTCTCTAAGGAAAGCACAACCAGATCACATAAATTACAGCAAATTGCAGGCTGTTCAACACATATGAAAATAATTTGGATGAAGGGAGCTGGCTTTCAGCTCACAGGTAGCAAGTAGAGTTTACAATACATGTATGTGGAGTGCCATGTCGAGGTAGGACCAAAATCCCAAGAACTGTTATTGTTTTGTTTTTTCTAGTTAAGCACAAATTAAATTATGCAGCTTAATGCTATTCAAACAGAGGTTCACGTCTATAAAATTAACAGATTAAAGAGTTCCTGAAAATATTGGCCAAAATACAAGAATTAAAAATATTTTAAGAAAACAGCTTTGAACCAATCCACAAATGAAAAACCTCACTGTCATATTTATTTGCAGATACATGAGACATTCTGAAATCAGGACATTTTATTTTCCCTTAGCATTATGTGTTTAATTTGGAAGTCCTGTATTTTAGACCTTCCACTGAATCAAAAACCAAAACAAAGAGACTTCAAAAGCCATTGTTACTCTATTCAAGTCTAAACTCTCCCTTTGTTCCTTTAGCTAATGAGTTTATACTGTCCTGCAGGGAGAATTGACACCAGCCTCAAGTAAATGAAAGCCGGCCAAATGTTGGTAAGATCAGAGCACTAAAGTAATTATGGGTTGATTAAATGTTTATCTTCTTTACAGGTGGGAAGGGAAGAATGAAAATGAAGTGGGACGATGCAAAGAGACTGGCAAGATTCATGTGACAGTCAATCACAAGTACTACAGGCCAACTGAAGTGGTAAGAAAAAGCCCTCACTTGGCTTTGCAAATGAATAATCCAATCACTCAGCCAATAAATTGCTGCATTTGGCCAGCAGTCTGTGAAAACGGCTTAATTGCACTCCTGCTGCCAGCTTTTAGAGCTCTAAATGAGCCTGCTTGTTGGCCCCTCACAGCCAGCTACCTGGGAAGCAACAAGGAGCAGGCGGGAGGAGCGGGTGCCCTCTCACAGAGATGCTGCTCCTCTTTGGTCACCCTCCCTGAGTGGGAGAGGCAGTGCTGAGGGGGATAAAACATCCTATGGGAAACAAGACAAAGCATAAAACAGCTCCCTGTGAACGGGAATATGGTCATCCCTTCTCCAGCTGCAAGCAGGGGAAGCAGAAGAAGGTGGGCACTGGTGGGTTTGATTAAGAAGCACCACCTTGTGTGTTTCACAGTAGTGTTTCAACTCCAGCCGCTGAGTATCCCCTGTCCAGCGTACATCTTTGTGACCGTGGCTGCTGCAAAATGCTGGTTTAGATGTGCTCGTGTGATTTGCAGGGTCTCAGCAAATGCTCGTTTGCAGAACACATCTTTACTCCCAGGAATGCCTCAGTTAAATCTACCAGGGGTGCTAATCCAGCACATGCTGCTGGCAGGACCAAACCCCAAACCCCTGCGCTCCAACCACCTAATGAGAATTCTGGGAGAGGGAAAAACCAACAGTATTTCCAGGTCAGGCAGGACGGTGGCAATGCACAGAGATGGTACAGGGTGAAGCCTGGTTTCTGGACATAGGAAACAGTAGCCCTAGTTGTGCTATGTGGGAGTGGGTGTACCCAGCAGAGGATTTCTCCCCTCCTGTGGAAAGTGACACAAGCGCCACTGGCTGCTGACACAGCATCATCTGTCAGTGTGTCCATTCAGAAGAGCTGTGTGATTCAAGCAAGGGGGTGACAAGAGCACCTTTGTGTTGTTGACACAGATTGCAGGGTGGGAGTGGGAGGCTGCATGTTTGGAAGTGGGCATGGGTTCTCAAACTGAAATTCAGAGGGGAACAGAGACTTTCATGTTAAAAAGGGCTGGACCTGTGTATCAGAATCAAATGCTAGGAAGTCATTAAGAGCTGCCTGTCATTCCGTGCTGTGGTAAGGTGTCAGGATGATAAGGAGGACAGAGACAAAAGGACTTGCCAAACAGGAAAAGGACACTTGACCCAACAAGTCTGTGCTTTGTGAGACCCACTTTCCTGCTTTGTCATGCCTCTTACTAACAAGTACATATTCACTCCTCAAAATTCATGATTACTACGTAGCTCCTCGGAAGTCCTCGCTGTAGTTTCACGTTATTCATGTGCTTAGTTTGTTTTCTGCTGAAACAGTGCTGCCCGTGATCTTCTTCGTCCCTGTCCCTATTGATCTCCTTCTGGGAGCACAGTTTCTGGGTTTTAACTTCAGCTCATTATACTTACTGTTTTGGGACAGTGCATAAGCACACACCCCTCAGGAGTACTCGTCATTTCTAGTGGCTTCATACATGAGAATAGAGAGGAATTCAAATACAGAGTGGAATGTGGGTTTGAAACAGGACTGTGTATAACCACAATAGATGTCTGATGTTTATCTGAAATTACCTGTTTTCTAATAGGCTGCCTTCCCTTGAATGAGGGCTCCATCTCTATCTTCCAGTACCCCCATCTTTCCTTGCTTTTACTGCAGTCCTGACTTGGTTCCTGTGGAACCCGGGAAGGCTGTGAAGCTGCTCAAGCATGATCAAGGTAGGAGCACAAAGTCAAGTGCCTTTGTCTTAAGGAGCATGCAGGGGAGCTGTGAGGGAACTCCTCTCTGAGGAGATGAGATCCTTTTTCTGCAATCAGTTTCCTTTTTAGATCATCTCGGGATGGATACCCAGAATCACTTTCTCCTTTTTTTTTTCATTCTAATTTGATTTCCACTCCTTGTCAAAGGCAGGAAAACTGTTCATTTCATTCAGGGAATCACATCTGTGCAATTCAAAATACTAGACCAAAACCCAATCCATCACAAGAAAGCAAGGAAGAGCAATGAAATAATTAAAATGGACTGACAGCACGTGTCCCCTGCTGACACTTGTACCAATACCGCTGAAGGCAAAAAAGCCTCAGGTTGACATTTTGGGAGGAGGTTTAGCCAGTTCAGTTAACAGGAATTCTGCTGTTGAATCACAGCTGACACAGAAAATCTGATGCTCAGACTCTCATGTCTTATTTGGAAACATTTCCGTCTGTCTGTCTCTCTAAAATTTAACATGGTATTCTGGAAATTGAAAATAAACATAATTTAATCTTGTGTACAGTCAGTTCTGACAGTGCCAATACATTCATTTGAAAACACATTTGTTTTCTTCAGTTAGTGATCCCTGGGGTCAAGGCCTCCCATTGAAAAGCTTAGCTGTACTGAAGAAGAAACCTTGAAATGTGAGACAGTCTTCTGGTCAAACTAAGTAGACCCTTTGAATGCCTTGGCTCTAAATCTCTTCACTCTGCTTTTGACTGCTGTGGGGCCCCTTGATATTTACTGGCCTTGGGAATTGTTCCTGCTAATGCTTCTAATGCCTGTCTTTCTCCTTCCTTCCTTGTGTCTTGCCAAATACAAACCTATCAGTATCATTTCTTTCAGCTTTTATCAAATTCCCATCAGTATATTTTCTGACCCTTTTAAAAATGTTTTCAGAGTCTAACCTGCTGCAAGGATTGGGGAAAAAAATTAGTTCCTTTCTTAAAATGAACAATTTCTACAAGAGCTTCATGGCAAGTTTGCTTTCTATACTGAACTTGATACACTACGAAGGGTGCTTTCACTTATTTTGCAAGCTTTTTAAACACATGGCTAGAAAAGTCATGCTTTACATTCACCTTCTGCTCTAGGCATGTAAAGTTCACTTTCCAGCACAGCTTACTCACCTGTGAAATGTAAGTACTTCAGAAATTATCTCACTAGTCTTTTCTACTTACAATCAGAATGTTCATATTGTACGTAGGCAAATTAGTGTATACTTAGATTTTAATAATCTGTTGGCATTCACAAAAATAATGATAAAATCATTTTAATTTTTTTTCAAAAGTTAAAACTGAAATTCAATGAGCTGCTTGGCGAGTTGGCAACCAGCAGCCCTGCAGCACATAATGTCATAAGCATCAAGGTCTCTCAACCCCAAAAGTTAGGTTATTTTTACAGAGTTAGGGTCTGTCTTTAATTTTCTTATCTTTCAGCAGGACAATTACTATTAATTTATATGCATGAATTTTCCCCCAAGAATTGCACAATCGCTTCTAATTAAATTTTGTCCATTAAGGTGTTTAAGTGCTTCTGGTATTTTTGCATGCCAGATATTAAGTTAACAGTTTTATAGGAGCTTGCTTCATTTCGTTGCATTTTCCTGCAACAGTGAGGATTAACTCCAGGTCTCACTGGTCTGTCTTGTCATCACAGAACATAGATGTATATATCTCTCAGTTAGGAGTTTACATCATTGTTTGAAAGAGAAAAATAAAAGAAGCCTTTCAGCCATGTGTAGATGGTGTTTTTTCTCAGAATCTAATATTCTGCATGTCTTACAGAGAATTCTTCCCCTCTTCTCCCACCTATTTCTGCAGTTGTCCTACAGCTTGCCTGGTGCAGGAACTGCAGGTTGAATCCATGCATCACATTTTTTATGGGCTGGCATGGCTGTAATTCTGAGGATGTAAATACATCATCAATGCAAATTTCCTTCCTTTAAGCAAGCCTGGAAACTCTGTCACAATATGATGCTAATATTTAAGTACTCATCTGGCCTCTTATTATTCTTCTTCAAAGGAGAAAGTTAGTTAACTCACTTGCTAACTTCTTCCTTTTGTTATATGCCTAAAGCAATTTTTCTCCAAGGTCTTTCTAGCACTGATATAAATGAAATACATATATATTATGATATATATACATCTTCTCAAGTCTTATGTGTGTCACTTATATAAATTTTGCATTTCTGCTTAACTGTGTTTGGCCTCAGTTACCCTTTTTCCTCCTTGGAATTAAGTGGGACGGCTTTAAATTTCAGTCTCTTCAGATGTTTTTTAAAAATTCAGCTCTGTGTTTCCCATGTTTCATAGGATTCCAGTAAAAATTCCTTAGGGCATATCACATTCTCCCAAAGTCAGCTTTCTTAAAGTCAAAAACATTTCTGAACTCCTCTAAGTGTTCCTGCCCTAAAGAGCACTTAGAGTCTAATGAAACCGTGATCACAAACCCCTAAATGCCCCACACTTCCACTTTAGTTTTCATACAAGCTTCATTTCCTACTCTTAAGTTCAGTGCTGCCTGTGACTGTAAACTGTTCAGATATCTGCATGAGGAAACACGTGCTTCCCTTCCTCAAGGATCTTTTTGCTCATCAATGTCACTGTGTGGCCTTTATTAAAACTCATGAAGATGAAATGGGAGCATTCAAGGAAGAATAATCTTCAGATTATTTTCCTGTCTATTTTCCTCTAGCAGTCAGGTAAAGAATTTGTGAACTGTCATAAAACTGACAGTCTTCTCTTATCTGTTTTCTTTCCTTATTGTTCTGAAAATGTATGTCAACATCTGAAAACTATTGCCCTGATGTCCTTAATTCTCCTCCGAGCTGACTTTACTTCTGTCTCAGCCAAAATGTTTATATTGTTCCTTACTTTAATCTCAACATTATCTCTGCATTGCTTTGCCATCCTCTTCCTTTTATTTGTCCCTCCTGCTAATAAAACCTGCAGTAGATTATTTGTTTGTTTTAGTTAAGGCCTTACATATCAGGCATTTCAGAGGTATCTCTGAAAATATACATGTCAAATTCAGCCAAGTAAAATAATGATTAGTAGTAACTTGTCTCTATAGCATCTAAGAGGCACTTAACATATTTTAAATATTTCTTAACAAGCCTGTGAAAAAAGGTTTGTAAAAAAAGAGCATCACTGTGTTTCTGCCTCTGAAACATGTATGGCAGAGCAGACAGACTGCACGGCTCGAGTGATAGCAATAAGCAGCA